GTTCTCAGTGATAATGTGAGTTCAACCATTCGGAGCCAAATAGCCTGGTGTTCCTTTCATTATTGTTTCAACTTGCTTTGGTCCTTATCAATTAGTTTTGACATCCAAAATCATAAATTTTTACATTCAAATATTCATCTAAGAGGATGTTTTGAGGTTTGATATCTAGGTGAAATATTTTCTTCCTGCATTCCTCATGGAGATAGGTTAGTCCCTTGGCTATATCCATGATGATCTTCTTTCTGGAATGCCACCAAGAGTAAGGTCTTGGGTGCAGTGGAAGATCCATGTATCCAAGGGTCATTGGAATATACTCCGTAAACTAGAAGTCGATATAATTTTTCAGCACAGAATCCAATTAATCTCACCAATTGACATGAGAATGTTGACTATTGCTTAACTTCAGTTGGAGATAACTTCTTAAAATGACCAATAACCATTGAGACACTTCACTACTATTTTGGTGCCATCGCTTAATGTCCCTTGAAACACTGACCCAAATCCTCCTTCCCCGGCTTGTCATGAAATTGCATGTCATGGCTCTGAAGTCTTTGTGAGAGAACCTGGTGGCATCCTTGGTACTTGATCGACATAGAAATCATCAAGTTCCTCGGATTCTCCTTTATTTCTAAGAAGGTAAAAGGAAAAGGCAACCACAAAAACTACACCACAGAAAGCTCCGAGACTGGACCCAAGTATGATTATGAGTTGCCTTGATTTCTTGATGTAAATGAATGTGCTGGTGAAGATGGAGATGAAATGGAGCAACAACAACAGGAGATGGAGATGGAGATGGAATTGGAGCAACAACAACAATAGAAGACGGAGATGGAGGTTGGGGAGAAGTTGAGATGAAGTAGGGGAATTGCGTAAAATAGGAAAATGGATATGGACGGTGGAGGAGAAGTTTGAGATAGACGTGAGGAATTGGTAAAATAGTTACGGTTGGGCATTGTTGAAAGGTGTAGAGGATATGAAAAAAGGTGATAATAACTCTAGTGCAGAAAGTAGATGTTTATAGCTTTGGTGTTGTGGTCTTGGAAATGTTGTATGGGCGTAAAAATTTGGATAGGTCTCAGCCTGAAGAAGATATGCATTTACTAAGTCTATTTAAGAGGAAAGCAGAAGAGGAACAACTTTTGGATATCATTGATAAATACAATGATGACATGCAGAGACATAGAGAAGAAGTTGTGGAGATGATGAGGGTTGCTGTGTGGTGTCTACAAAGTGATTTTTGAAGGAGGCCTTCCATGTCAGTGGTGGTTAAGGTCATGGAGGGTTTTGTAGAAGTTGAAAAAAAAATTGGATTATAACTATACAACTCCTATCACTACTACAAATATAGATAAAGATCACACTTTTTTGGTGTGATGTATGTTTTTTAATCACACCTTTTAAGTTTTATTAAAGTGTGGTCTTTAGGAGTGTGATTAAAAATGGTCATTTTTAATCACACTTTTTAAGTGTCATTAAAAAATGCTTTCATCACACCTTTTAAGTGTGATTAAAAACATTTAGATCACACCTTTTAAGTGTGGTTAAAAACATTTAGATCACACCTTTTAAGTGTAATTAAAAACATTTAGATCACACACCTTTTAAGTGTGGTTAAAAAAATTTAGATCACACCTTTTAAGTGTGATTAAAAACTTTAGATCACACCTTTTAAGTGTGATTAATAACTAATAAAACCTGTGATAAAAAAAAAATTGACATATTTAAAGAATAATCAATATTATTTTTGCACGCACATTTGAATAATATAATACACACTATATATTATATTTTGAATCACAACCATACATTGAATGAAATAATATCATATATTTCATAAATGAAAGTTAAATGTTTAAAAGTATATACAAAGAAATTAATAAAAAAAAATTAACTGTGATTACATACATTAAAAAATAAAAAATAAAAAACTTGAAAAAAGTAAGTTCTTGAATTCTTTGATCATATTTTGCATCTCTCCAAGAAATTTCTGACCTGAAAAATAAAAAAACAAATTAATTTAAAAACCGCCAGAAGCATATGAATAAACTTACTAATTAATTTATAAACTTACATTTAGATCACACCAAAAATAATGTAATTTATCCAGTTGTTAAACTGCCCCAATCCTTTCCCCACAGCCACCAAAAATGACATAATTACCAACTAAAGAAATTGTTGATTAGTAATTTAAAGAATGAAAGTTATATCATACTTACATTGGATTTCAACTCATATTCTTTAGTACGAAATTAATACATTCAACTCGCACTTTATCAATTTTGGTTTCCATACAAATCTTTTTTCCATTGAACTGCAAGAAGTTATTTACAAGTCAGAACTGACTAGAGGCGTTCATAGATCGAATTGCTATTAGTGAAAATCAAATGATGCCAAAGGCAAAATATAAAAATTACAAAATATTTATTTATCATATAAGAGGTGATATGTCATTTGTTAAATTTCTCATACTCTCTGAAATATTTCTAAACAATAATAATATGATGATCATATTTTCATATCATGTAACGTGTCACTTTTTAAGATTTTATATTGACTCATTATAATATTCTGTGTTTTTAGAATAAGATGATCATATTTTCACCTTTTTCTTTGAATGAATGATCTTGGTTCTTCAAACATTCCTAGAATTGGGTTTTGTTTTTTGTAGGTTGGTCTTGAAGCAAATCAAAGATGGGTGGATCAAATGAGAACAATGGACCTGTTGCCATTAAACCCTCAGACTCTCAAGGTAAGATTCAATACGAACATTAAATTTCCTCTCTTCTTTCCAAGCTCTGATCAAGTAGTCTAGATCGAACACAATCCATTTAGCTGTAATTTTGTAAGAATTTTCTTGTTCTTTCTCTCTGAATTCAAAAGAAGGTTCAAGAATGGTGGGATTTCAGAGGTTTCAACAGCAGAAGTTAAATAACCGCAGAAGGGCTCTCAGCAATATAAATCATAATATTTTAGGACCTACCAACTACCCTTATGTTATTCACCCAAAAAAAACTACCCTTATGTGGTCAACAAAAGAGGATCCTTGGAGTAATTTCCACAATCTTAATCTGAATTATGCCAATACTAATTTTTTCAACAATTTCTCCTTCTTTTGTAAACTAAATTGGTTGTTAAATGTTTAGGAAGGATGTAAAGGGGGAGAAGAAAACTATGCTACCCTCCATATTTGTGTAATAAAAAATACGGATGTAATTCCCTTATTTTAATTTTTTTTTTTTATAAGTATATCAAAGAGAAGACATTATAAACAAAAATGTTTTATTACACTACACCCATTAGCTTAATTAAATTTTAATATAACTCAGCACAAGTTGTTCACATTGATTCAAAAACCAATATGCTCTGGTAAGTTTGTTTAGCATGAAAGAGTAGGAAACAACAACAAAATTAGTTTTTTCTATACAACACATATTAGCAATGGTAATTGAGTTTTAAATTTCTTGCACAAAATAATAATAATAATAATAATAATAATAATAATAATAATAAAATTTGTCCATGCAATGCAAGGGGTTACCTATAGTTAAAATTATAAAAAATTTCTCTATCTTTTTCTTGCAAAAATTTCATCCTAATAAAATGTTTACAAGAAAATATATTTTCCTTTTCTTCCTTTCATTTCACATTCAAACAAATTTTGTTTCTAATCAAACAGAACCTAAAACAAAGAAACAACTTAACAACCATTACAATGGAACAAACCTCTCATTCCACAAACAGTCTAAAAAACCAACTGAATATATTAATTTACGCATTCAAACACATAAAATCAAAAAATAAAAACAGAGATTGAGATTCAAAAGAAAGAGCATGCAAAAATAGAACAGCATTCAAAACCCTAGAAACGGAGGGAAAAGAGGGAGTACCTGACGAGAAGAAGAGTCGTCACTAGAGCAGAGGGAGTCGTTTGCTGCCAAGGAGGAGTACAAAAATCTGGAAAAAAAAAATGAAAAAAGAGGAAACAGAAATCTGGACAGAACAGAAATCTGGAAAAAAAAAATGAAAATTGATGTCTTCATTCTTCGTTTGCTGCGAAGAAACAGAAAAAAAAATCTGGAAAAAAAATGAAAAAAGTGGAAGAATCGAAGAACAAAGAGATCGAAGATGGACAGAACAAAGAAAATGAAGAAGAAGAGGAGGAAGAATCGAAGATGAACTTACCGGAATGTGATCTTTGAAGGAGAGAATCGATTAGCACTTTCGATTAAACCTCTTCGATAGCTTCACAGGAAGGAGTTCTTCAACTCTTGGGAGTCTCTCCGTGTTCCAAGAAAAAGAGAGAGACAATTAAATAGAGTAGAACCCTAATTTTTTGTTTCATGTTTTGTTTATTACAAAAGTACCCCAAATTTATATCATTATTTTAAACAGACCAAAAAACTTGCTCCGGTACCCTTTAATTTGTAAAAAATCTCGTTTTGTACCCCGAAGTACCAAAAAAAGTACCCGTAGCATGTCCATCACGTACCCATCATTATACTGATCATATAAAATGTATCTAGTGCGTTTTTTGGCGTACTCGGTACGCGTGCAACCGTACCGGTATATGTACTCGCACTCGGTAAATACTCGGTACTTATACGGCAATATTTTTGGAGTACCTGTGCTTCATATCCACCTGAAGACCCTCATTCACAATGAAAACCTATATCTATAAAATTCCACTAATAATAATCATAATCATAAATATATACACACAAAAGGGGCATAAAAAATAGAGAACTCACTAGAAATTTCAAGAGGTTTTTTATTTCAAAAGACAAATTTGAATGAGTAACTTCAATGGTGGTTCGGAGCTGTGAGTAACTTCAATGGTGGTTCGGAGGTGTGATGAAGAAAACAAAATAGGGCTTCGTTTCATAAATAGAAGGCAAGGAGAAGGAGAAAAGACCTGTGTGTTTGTGAAGTTCAATCTTACTGGGAATGGAAGAGTCGTCCTCTCATTTATGGGTAGAATAAAGGCACGAATTTGTGTATAGTATATTTTATATAAAAATCAAATTGAAATGTTTTATACAATCACACCTATTTAGGGAGTGTGATTAAAAAGTAGTAATGTATATGTAATCACACTTTAATTAGAATGTGTGATTAAAAAATATATAAATAATCATAATTTAATTAGAATGTGTGATTAAAAAATATATATATATAATCACACGAGATAGTTTTTTTTTTTGTCAAAGTGTGATCTTTAACTATTTTTGTAGTAGTGGATATTTTTATTTACCATGGCTTGCATTTACTGTATGTCGTTAATGTGAATCCGTGAAATCCCAGTTTTGTTGTAGTGGAGAGAATAGACCTCTGTGTTTGTGAATTCAACCTTGTTGGGGATGGAAAGATTCGTCCTCTGTCATTCATGGGTGTAGAATAGAGGTGCAAATTTGGGAATTGTATATTTTATATAAAAATTAAATTGAAATGTTTTATACAATCACACCTATTTAGGGAGTGTGATTAAAAAGTAGTAATGTATATGTAATCACACTTTAATTAGAATGTGTGATTAAAAAATATATAAATAATGATAATTTAATTAGAATGTGTGATTAAAAAATATATATATAATCACACTCATTTAAAAAAATATGATTAAAAAGTAGTAATGTATATATAATCACACTTTAATTACAATGTGTGATTAAAAAATATATTTATAATCACACTTATTTAAAAAGTGTAATTAAAAAGTAGTAGTGTATATATAATCACACATTCTAATTAAAGTGTGATTAAAAAATGTATATATAATCACACTTTAATTGGAATGTGTGATTAAAAATATATTTATAATCACACTTATTTCAAAAGTGTGATTAAAAAGTAGTAGTGTATATATAATCACACTTTAATTAGAAAGTGTGATTAAAAAATATATAAACAATCACACTTTAATTAGAATGTGTGATTAAAAAATATATTTATAATCACACTTATTTAAAAAGTGTGATTAAAAAGTAGTAGTGTATATATAATCACACTTTAATTAGAACGTGTGATTAAAAAAAATAGATATAATCACACTTAATTGAAAAGTGACATAAAAAATAAATACTATCACACTCAATCAAATTAAGTGTGATAAAAATATTAATCTAATTTTTTTTATCACACTTCCAAAAAAAGTGAGATATTTTTTTTTCTCAAAGTGTGAAGAGCAATCAGAGTTGCCGGTAACCAAGTGGATGCCATTGGTGCTGTTGATAGCCAATTATTTCTGTCATTTTTATCAGAGCCAAGATAAAGCAAGTAAAGTTCAACAAACAAATACAGTTGATTGTTTAAAGTATTGAGTATTTCTTTTTCTCCTTTTGTTTTTTTGTTTTTGGACTAATAAGTTTTAGGATTTCAATTTACTCTGGAATTAAACATTGATACAAGGGAAGAAAACTGTCAAAACATGTCTGGTATAGTTCCCCATTCACACCACTCTAACTTGGATTTGGTTGGAATTTGTAAAGACTTATCTAAGAGTTGTATTTCTGCCTAATTTTGTGAAAGGTCCTTTAAAATTCCCTATTCACACACCCAGGTCCTCTAAGCCCAAATATGTGGTGAACTATAAATAAAGAGTTTTATTTGTGCAAATCACACCCCATGATACCAGGATTAATGGTGTTTTAGGTAGTGTCTTTTTCCACTGATAAATTTTTGACTCTCTCAATAATATTATTCCTTTTTATCTTTCTTCAAGTTCTTCCATCATCATTGCCATAGAGCATACAGAACCACATGAATGCAGTGAGCCAGATTAGATTTCCCACTTTTTTAATTCAAACATTCTCAAGTTCTGTTGCAAAAGGGAAAAAG